AAATGTGTTTATGTGGTTTAAGGTTCTAGGTTCAAAAAACACATTATTTTCACATTATATGAGTCAGAACAGCTGGCATAGTAGTCTACTCTACCAGGATCAGGAAACAGTCCTCCATAAAATGCGCTGCACACATCTGAATATTTGGGTTGAACTGTTCTGGAACAGTTATAAATACAACTTAACCACTGATTTCTAGTTTTGTCCACTTTTGGAAGGCCAAAGAAAGTAGTTTTGCTTTCACAACGAAAAACACAGCATCACACACGGTGGGCTTGAGTGAGCGGAGGCCGGCGGGCTTGAGGCAACCACATGTGATGACACTGGACGGGACTCCACTTCGTCCACGGTGAAAGCCGATCCGGCGATCCACAGCGCGAAGTTGATGTATTTCCTCAGCGACCAGCACGGATCAGCTCTAGGCATGACAAAGCTGATATCTTCTTTATGCACCAAGAGCTTATAACACTCCAAAGAGAAAGGAAACATTGAAATCGCATCATATGACCCCTTTAAATTTCAACTAGCTAAAAGAGAAAACGAACTGTACAAGCTGACAATGTATGCTAATACCCACCATAACAGCCCTTGTGGCAGTGCTGAGAATGTGGCGTACTATTGTTTCAATATGATTTTTATTTGGACACATTTAGAATGGCAGCAATGCATAAAATCGAGCTTACATAGCTAGAAACATGTGTCCAAGCATTTGTTGTCTTTATCCGCTGTAGGCACATTTGTAACTTTATGTGTTTCTGCAATGATTCCAGGCACCCAGCGAATACGAAGCCAACCCTGAGCTGCTGATATACAGAATCACCCACCTGACCCGGGGTAAGCAGTATCTGATCTGGGCAGCCGCCGTTACCACTGCTGGTCGAGGAAACATCAGCGAGAAGGTGACTGTGGAGCCTGCTGGGAAAGGTAAGTCTATCTAGAGTTTAATGGGATAATAAGTATTATTCATAGCTAAATGCCCCTTTTCATGAATGCTGGTGTCATATATCGGCAATCAGCTCTGTACCTAAACATATGCACTAAAGAAGTCATATGATCTCAAAACAGGCAGTTTCCACGCATAAATTGATGTTTGAGGTTTCCTGTCTGTAATTTAGCTTTATTTACTTAGCAATCATGTAGAAATTGTGCAATTGCCTGATAAGGCAGATGACCTGAGTGAGAACTGGGTGTTACAGGTCATTCTCTGCCACTGATGCTCTCTTCTCTTCCTTTTCTTTGATTTTCTCCTGATGGATAGAGGTAAAGCCTGTCATTTATTATGTGGAGAGGAGTAAAAGCAACTAAATGAGAAAGAGATGGCAGACAATGACCCGGGCAATATGCCAGACAATGAAGGGGGCAGTTCAATCAATATTTATTGGGTCAGAAAACCAGGGAGAGAATCTATGAGTGTGTCCTTATTTAATAACTAATTCACAGCTAGTTTAAAGAGCAAGCATCTCTTGATAGCCGATTCTTTCATGTATGAACGATTTCCAAAGTGATTGTGAAAAAAAAAAAAAACTTGAATTCACTAAATGTTCATTATATAACATGTAGACTTTAAACTGTAGAAAACATACTTCACACAGAATGTGTTTTTGTATTTAAAAATGCATGGAGCAGTGCAGTGGAATGGGGGGGTGAAGAGTCAAAAAATATATATATTTTTTTTAAGTTTAACTTGAGTATCATGTTTTTAGAATGCAGTGTCATGTGTGAGACTCTGCAAAAGAGTTGAGCACAATGATCAAATATGTCTGTCTAATTTATTGCTGATAGCTTTGTTGGCAGCGAGCCGACATATTGTGCCGTTGCGCTTCGGGCACCCCTACTTGCAGACATTTCTTGATCCCATCCCCCCCTCTCTCTCCCACTTTGCTTCCTGTCTATAGTCTGTCCTATTACAATAAAGGAAAAACTAAAAATAAATCTTAAAAATAAATAAATATATAAATAAAATTTCTATCTAATACATCAGTATATTAATATATGACTCTTTTGTTTGTGCTACTCAGCTCCTGCTAAAATCCTGTCTTTCGGAGGAACGGTGACCACTCCATGGATGAAGGAAGTCCGGTTGCCGTGCAGCTCAGTGGGAGAGCCAACACCCACCATCAAATGGACCAAAGACAGGTCTAGGATCAGCTTTCGTCACTTTCCTGAGAACACTGTTTTTTCCAATGAGTCTTTGAAATATAGACACTTACAGGTTTAGATTTACAAACCCAAATACCTCCTTTTTACTCTTCTGACTCTTCTTAGACATTCACCTCTAATTTATTAAAAGATGAGAAGGTCAATATGTTTGATCCTCACAGTGAGGACACCGCCATCCCAGTCACTCAAGATGGTCACCGGAATATTCTTTCAAATGGTACCCTGGTGCTGCGCTCTGTGAAAGCCGAGGATTCTGGGTACTACACCTGCACGGCCACCAACACACTGGGGTTTGACACAATCATCGTAAACCTGCTGGTGCAAGGTAAGGAATAGCATACTTCCACAATGTCCTGGGACAACATTCCTATCAACCAGTCAGATTTTAAGGTTTGATTTTAGGGTTAGGGTGCTATCACATGAAACTTGGCTAAATGTTATAGATTTTATATCTGTGTGGGGAAATATTTTGCTCTCAAGCAAAATTAATGATTCCACAGATTCCTGTTGATGACTCTGTCAACCACAAAAATGTGCCAAACAATAAATGTGACCATATAAGCTGGGGACAGAGATAGGATTATGTCTTGTTCCAGGACAAGTAAACATTGATCCACAGAACACGTCCTACTAAAAGCATGGTGGTCAAAATGTGAAAAATTGACTGCTGGTGTTTGTCATTATAGTGCCTCCAGATCAACCACGTTTAACAGTTTCCACCACGTCCACGTCTTCAATCACTCTGGCTTGGATCCCTGGAGACAATGGAGGGAGTTCCATCAGAGGTACAAGAACCTGTCCTGTCTCTTTCCAGTCACCTCACACTTTTTATGTAGTGGGCTCCTCAAAGTACAAGTCTCTTTATCTCTCACCCTTTTTCATTTTAATTTATCTATCTTTAAGATTAGTTTTATTTTTTTTCTTCTTCTTTTTACAATCTCTTTTTTTGTCTCTGTCTATCTGCCTTCCTCTCAGACTGTGTTTAATCTGTCACTGTGTCACATGTTACTGTCAAACTGCTTGCATCTCAGTAAATTAGGTAAAAAACAGAGATGTGGTGTTTATGTGTGGAAAGATGGGAGGAGAATAAGGAGCACACAAGGCTGTCAGTGGGTAAATCCTTTTGATGTGGCACCCTTTATTTTGCCATCTGCCAAAGCCAAAGTGAGACACCAAATCCGGGCCGCGCCTAATTATGGGCGACGCCATATTGTGCATCTATTTGCATAACTGTGCAGTCAGCATTTCTCTCTCTCTCTGGGTTACTAATTGGGGTTTACAGCAATGTGATCAGCCCTTCTTCTGAGATTGTTACTCTGTAAGGTAAATGCGCCATCTAGTGGTGATGTTCGGAAATATCTGTTCTGAGTGTTCTGAGTTAACTCCAACTTCATGAGTTTGATTCCCAGGAATCGCATGAACTAGAAGTATAATATATAATATAATAATAATATATTGCATATGTGTGTGCATATTCAGGTTTTGTGCTGCAGTATTCAGTAGATAACACTGAGGAGTGGAAGGATGTCTTCATTAGCTCTAGTGAACGTTCTTTCAAGTTGGACAACCTGCGCTGTGGTACCTGGTACAAAGTCAAACTTGCTGCAAAAAACAGTGTGGGAGCTGGTCGCATCAGCGAGATCATTGAGGCCAAGACTCACGGCAGAGGTGAGCGGTTCTAGCTAATTCCCTATGTTCTACACTTTTTGTAGCTCTTGTAAAATGTGTATGTGTGTGTGTTCATACTGGAAGATCCACTTTTATATACACTACCATTAAAAATTGTGGGGGTCTGTAAATTTTTGTTTTTGAAAGACGTCTCTTATGCTCACCAAATAATTTATTTTAAAAAGTAATTGATGTAAATGTAATGTATTTCTCTGCTGGCATATTGTAAAATGTGGTCTTTTCTTGTTTTGCAGAGCCACAGTTCAATAAGGACCAGCCCCTTTTCACTCACATCAACTCCACCCATGCCCGACTTAACCTGCAGGGCTGGACGAGTGGCGGCTGCCCCATCACTGCTGTCCTGCTAGAGTTCCGCCCCAAAGGCACCTGGGCCTGGCAGAGTGTCCGCACCAACGCCTCAGCTGACATCTTCCTTGCCGAGTTGCGTGAGGCCACTTGGTATGAGCTAAAAATGAAGGCGTGCAACAGCGCTGGGTGTGGAAACCAGAGCTCCCAGTTTGCCACGCTGGATTATGACGGCAGTAAGTTTACAAACCGGAGAGTTTTATTTCCCAGTAATTCTGCCAGCATTAGTACAGATGTACAAATATATTTCCTACAGAGCCAGGGCATGTATTACAGAATGACACAAAAGAACATGTACAATTAGCAGCTAAATCAATTAATTAAGCTGTTTTTAGGCCTGAATTTTAGAGATAAGAGGCCTTGATGTGAGCTTTATCTCGATCTCTGTACTTATCTCGATTTCCTTTCCTCTGCAGGCACTATTCCGCCTATTAAGTCAGCACGAGGGGAAGGGGATGATGTTAAAAAGCTTTTCTCTATCGGCTGCCCTGTTATCCTGGTCACGTTGGGCATGGCTCTACTCTTCATTATTCGCAAGAAACGCAAAGAAAAGAGACTCAAGAGACTTAGAGGTGAGAGAGAAATAGGCAGAAAATGTAGAGAAAGTTGTTTGAATAGAATTATATATATATATATATATATATATATATAAATAGAGTTCTGGCATGAAACTCTAGATGGCGCAGTCCGATAGGTCTAACTCAGTCTGACCTAATTACACCTAATTAGCACAGCTGATTAGTTCTCTACTGTATCGGTAGCCAATGAGCTCGCTGCTCAACATTCAAATATATGACTAGTGCTTGCCGTAGCAGTTGCAGCTTGCTTCAGAAACCCTCCACCTTCCCCAGCTCCACCTGTATATATCTGCTACTAGGTGATTCATGTATGCTATATGGGGTTATTTCATGTGTGTTATATTTGCAGCAGCAATATTTCTTACATGCTCACAGCAGCATGTTGTGGATGTATTGGCAGTGGCAAGTCTCGGTACTTGCTCTGCCGCAGCAGCAGCAGCGTAGCAGATCTATTCCGCCAAGACCAAATACATTAATATTGTCATGTACATTACCATGCCAATCCCTCCGAGAGTTGTCATGACAGAAATATAGTTATTACACATTTCTAGAATAATTTTACAGGAGTATTAAATAAAATTACTCTGATTTCCATCTGTAGATGCTAAGAGCTTGGCTGAGATGCTTATCAGGTAAGGACATATTTAGAAGTCTGTGTACACATTAAACTCCAAAATTAAAACTCAAACATTAAAATTTGTGTTTAAAGAAGTGGCAGTGGCAATACTTTTTCCCCCCCTCTGTGTTTGTGTGCGTGTCTGTCTGTGGTTGTTTTGCACCTGGAGCAGTAAGAACAATCGAAGTTTTGACACTCCAGTGAAAGGCCCACCTCAGGGACCTCGACTGCACATAGATATCCCCCGCGTGCAACTACTCATCGAGGATAAAGAGGGAATCAAACAGATAGGTCAGTGTGTATGTGTTTGCATATATGCAAGTCATATGCTATTGCAATATATTTAAAAAATCTGAGATAGAGTTGAGTTGAGTACTGAAAGAAAACGTTGATAAAAAAGTAAAGTAAAACTGAAGGTATAACATTTTTTTTTCCTCAAGGCTTGTGTTTTTTTCTCTGTTGTGTGCTATAGGTGAAGACAAGGCCACCATCCCTGTGACGGACACGGAGTTCAGTCAATCAGTGAACCCTCAAAGCTTCTGTACGGGTGTGTCTGTGCATCACCCCGCCCTCATCCAGAACACAGGCCCATTGATTGACATGTCAGACATCAGGCCGGGCACCAGTATGTCACAACTCACCCACTCATTCCATAACAGATGGAAGATGGTATAATTAGTGAATGTTTTATACACTCTCTGATTTTACCTTTCTCAGATCCAGTATCGAGGAAGAGCGTGAAGTCTGCGCACAGCACGAGGAACCGCTATTCCAGCCAGTGGACTCTGACTAAATGCCAGGCGTCCACACCTGCTCGCACTCTCACCTCAGACTGGCGGACAGTGGGCTCCCAGCATGGCATTACGGTCACAGAGAGTGACAGCTATAGCGCCAGTCTGTCCCAGGACACAGGTCCATACACTTACAGACACATTTCCGATTTTAAGAATATTTATTGTCCTATTAGCCAGACTTGGTCTTATTCTGCCCACTTTGACAGAAGGGGTCTGTTTCACCAGCATATGAAGTTTTACAGAGTGTACACACTCATTCTGTCCTCTCCTGTCCTCAGATAAGGGACGAAACAGTATGGTGTCCACAGAGAGTGCGTCTTCCACATACGAGGAGCTGGCCCGAGCGTATGAACATGCTAAGCTGGAGGAGCACCTGCAGCACGCCAAGTTTGAGATCACCGAGTGCTTCATCTCTGACAGCTCATCTGATCAGATGACCACCGGCACCAATGATAACGCGGATAGCATGACCTCTATGAGCACACCATCCGAACCGGGCATCTGTCGCTTCACTGCCTCCCCGCCCAAACCGCAGGACTATGATCGCGGCAAAAACGTGGCAGTGCCCATTCCCCACCGCGCCAACAAGAGTGAGTAAACAACACATTTAGGTGATTTTAAGGGGGTAATCATAAGCATTTTGAAGCTATGAAGCAGTGATGCAAGTTCAAGTACAGCTTGTGTCATTTCTAGAAAATATTCAAGCGTGTAGTGCTGCAACCCTATTGTAATTGTAAGGATTTTTATTATCATTCTGCCATAAAACTGATTGTGCAGACCAAACCATAAGGCACAGAGACTTGAAACTTAGCCAGATGGTACAGCTCAATTTGTGGAGAGACTAGCAAAGACTCCAGAGACCTCAATCGGCCACAGTGAAATTGCAAAACGGCTCATAACTCCTAGACTCCATAACTCAAGTGTCTCAAAACAAACAAAACAGCTACCTCCTATTTCCTGTATGCAAATGTTTCCACCATTTTGAATTTTGTCCAACACCTACTTTTGAGAACTAGTCCTAGGTTTTTCGCCTGATCAAAACCAAACCAGTGTTGAAATATTCTCTGGAGAGTGAATAGCAATAATAATCAAAAAAAAGTTAGAATTTTGACTTCCCGTCAGGACAGGACAGCAAAATGTTAGAAAGGGTCAGAGCCACTTTAACTAAAATGCTTATAACTCTTGAACAGAATACGATTATCTTCACCAAATTCAGAACAATTATGCAATAGCTCAGTCTGAAGTAACATAAACATTTTTTTTTTTAAACTGAGTTTAGCCACTTGGTGGCGCTGTACGAGTCAAAAAAAACAAAAACAATATGACTATAGAGGACATTCACATATCTAAAAAAAACATGGCAGCCATTGGTCAATGAATTTGTGCACCTATTAGACAAGGTTAACAGAGGCCGATCGAAATTGGTGGGCCTGTTTGACTCATGGCCCTAAACAGGGTCTGTGAGAAATTTGAAAGAAATCAGCCACTGGGGGGCAATATCATATTTTTCAAATGCATAAACGATTGTATATTGCGTGGTTTTTCACACATACACACAATATTCATAATATATGATAGATCTCCTCATTCCAAACAATTTTGCCTCAAGAACCACTGCTGTCAATCAAATTGTTTGTTAAATATGTGACAATATGTATAAAAAAATATAAAAAAAACACTGCAGTTCTCTGGACTCTCCAGGTCAATAATTATATATATAAAAAAGTTGAACTTTACACTTTGGTTACATATAACAGGATCATTTGAAAAACAGCCATGGCCAAATATATCCAAAATCCTATAAATTGTAAGTTAAACTCAAAACTTCACAAAACTAAAAAGTTTCATGGAGATAGTACCATAGGTTGCACTCTAACAATTAAAAAGGTTTCAAAAGCACGATAGTTCGATATTTGCAATTCCTGAAATTGCAAAATAAATAAATAATAATAACAGAGTTTCTCTGAAACGCTCCACCTTCCCCAGCTCCACCTGTATAGATCTGCTACGGGTTATTTTATACGCTATTTGTGCAGCAGCAGTAGGGTTGGGAATCGAAAATCTATTCCGATTCCAGAATTGGAAGAAAACTCAAAACTTCACAAAACTATGTGAAGTCATGCAGTATGTGATTTTAAATAAGCATGCAAATTTTATAGAGATTGGGCAAAAAAATGGCACCATAATAGTGGTAAATAATATTATAATAAAGGTTAAAAAAAAAAATGCATTTCTATGGTAAATTCCTTGAAATTGCGATTATAACCACTAGATGGCAGCAGATGATCATTCACTGGCTCATCCTATTCATTAATATAGTACTTCTGTGAGGTTTTACATTTGTACAGACATATCAGTTTTTACAATTATGCCAGACTATGATTACAGTGAAATGTGAAAACTATGTATATAGATTCTTAAAAAGAGAAGACTTGCAGTAAGCATTTTGTTACCTACCATTTATTTCAAATATCTATATCTGCAACAAAATGTGTGCGTGCGTGTGTGTGTGTGTGTGTGTGTGTGTGTGTGTGTTCTCTATCATGGATGAGTTTTAGTGTCAGCCATAAATTTTGGGATGGCCTAGTCTCCCATAGCATCCATGTCATAAGGCCCTTAAAGTGCCTGAACTCCCGTAATTGCTGCTTGCAGCAATATTTATAAATGATATTTATTATATAAAATATTATAGATATTGATATTATATGATAAATATGTAATATTTGTATAATCTTTTTTTTATTATTCTGATAATCATAAGAGGTTACATTAAATAAAATGGTTTGCAAATGGCATAGTTTCAGTTAAGTATGAATATAAATAAATAAAATTATAAATAAATTATCAGGTATAAATAAAAAGATTATTTAAATATTTAAGTATTATAATTAATTATATTTTAATTAAATAAAAACATCTCTTGCTGTGCATATGTATGATTTCAGTTCAAATTTATGATATTTCAATGGTTCGTTTAAAAAAGTTTTTAAAATAAATTATATGTATTATAATATATAATATAATATATATATATGTATATATTATATTAATATCTTAATTTGTATATATTATAAAATATATATATTATGTTATAAATAATATTACGGTTTTGTATTTTTTATTATTACTTATAACAATACAACTTTTTTGTTTGTTTGTTTGTTTTGTTTTGTTTTTGTTTTTTGCATATGTCATTTTGAAATTTTGGCAGTGTACATTTTAACAAATATGTCCAGAGGTATGGCACAGACCTGTGTTTTTTTAAATGTTACAACAGAATCTCTGGTGTTAAAATTCCAAATAATTATTTTAAAAGCGATTACTGTAGAAAAGACTCCAACAACAGAGGCTGTGATTTAACATAATTTTACTGACACTTGCGTCTGTCCTGCAGGTGAGTACTGTAACCTCCCCCTCTACATGAAGACAGACCCTTTCTTCCGGAAACAGGCAGAGCTGCACGACCCCTGCCCTGTGGTCCCACCCCGCGAGGCCTCCATCCGGAGCCTTGCCGCCCGGGCCTACCATACACAGGGCCGCCACATGACATTAGACCCCTCAAAGCAGCAGGCCCTGACACTGAGCCACGGTGGCCTGAGCAGCCTGACCAGCTCAGGGGCCTCTGGTACGTTGGGCCCAGCTTCAAGCGGGGCTGCTGGAAGCTCCAGCATCAGCTCAGGCACGGCCACCCTGCCCCAGAGGACTCTCACAATGCCCAGCACCTCCTCCACCTCCTTGGCCCCAAGCGGGGCAGTCGCCGCTGGAGCAGGAGCCAGCACGAGCTCCACGGGAGGCAACGGCCCGACGCCTGGCAGTTCCAAGGTCGGGGGATCCAGAGACTCTCTGCTAGAGAGCAGCTCATCTGGCCTGGGCAGACTGCAAAAGCAGAATGCTGGGGCGTACTCCAAATCCTACACTCTGGTGTAGCTAACACACACACACACGTATACACATACAGTACGTTCACACACACATCTGGAGTCTGGGCAGGGGCGGAAATGAACAATGGCAGGACAGGGGTCTCTCTCTCTTTTCCTCTCGGTTACCTTTTTCTGCATTCCTTTTTTATTCTTCTGCTCAAGCTTTTTTTATCTGGCCTTCTCCAGGAAAAAATATGCCAAACCCCAGGACCTTTTCCCCAATTTTGCCTTTTTTTTGTCTTATGTTTTGTCCTTCTCTCTTGCTTTCTTCCCCACTCTCCTTTCACTTCTCTCTGTCAAAGACACCTTGGACCTTATGCACGAAATGCTTTCCATGTGCACTTGTTCATTTGATTTCTCAACTTCAGAAAATAGGAAAAAAAACGATTTTAAGAGATGTATTGTTTCACATTAACCTGTCTAGATGTTTTTAGGCTGTCAAAAAAGGTGTCTCTTTTTATGTCTCTCATACTGCAACGCATTGCCTCGGAAAGCTTATGCATAAACAAATCCACCACGGTGTCCACCTTCCGCCCCTCCTGATCCACAATGGTCTGGAAAAACAGCTCGAAGACGAAAGTCTCGACCGCCTGAATCGAGTCTTTGGGATGTTTTCATGCAATTGATGACAAGTATAGAGTGTTATTGACTATTTTGTAAACAAACAACAAAAAAAAGGTGAAAAAAAAAATGTTTGGAGCCATTTTCACTGCGGATGTATGGTTACTGTACTTTTATTTTTTTGTTCCGTTTTCTATTTTTGGCATTTTGAACTTTAGCACTAAGGAGGGCTGGGTGGATCCACAGAGCTTTCTCAAGCTTGTGTACGTGTGGTGTGTGTGTGTGTGTGTGTGTGTGTGTGTGTGTGTGCGCGCATGTGTATGTATATGTGTAAATATACATGTATACATGTGGCCAGCACACACCTTTAAAGGACCTCTCAACCAGGCCTGCACACTTGGTCTCTTGGCATCACATCGGCTTGGAGATGCCAGATGCCGTCCACTGAGCTACAAGGTCTAGAGTCCATATGAAAAGGGGGGACAAGTTGGAGAGAGTATTTAAAGGGTAGACGTATCTCCCTTCTCATTATCTCTCTACTCCCTTCGATATGAAAGAAAGGCTCTTTTTTTTGCTGTTTGTTCGTTCATTCGATTGTTTGTGATTGATGCTTATCACCCCTCCTTCCCCACCCAGACCTCCCCCAAAAAGGTTACCACTTCCTCTGTCTCACTGTGAACGCCTAACAGCCTCTCCTGGATGGACCAAGCGCAGGCAGAAAGGCGGGAAGAGGGCAGAGAGGTAGCGAGGAAGTAGAGGCAGACGGGCCCGTGAATGGAGAAAGAGAGATATCTGCTGTCGCTGTGTAGCTTTTCTGTGTTTGTTCATCGTTTCTCTTTATTCTTTGCTTTCCTTCCCCACACGAAGACTCTAACGGTCGTTCCTATTCGAAGGTCTTAGAGACTCTAGACTCTAGCGCAGGGGTGGATTAAGGAGGGAATAAGTGAAATGTAGGAGGGGAAGGTTTCATTCAACCCTAAATGGATCGAAATGCCTTTTAACCCTCCTTCGTTCACTCGGTTCCCAAAGCAAAGCCCCATCACAGAGAAACTTCCAAAAATCAACAAACTCTCCCAATGATTTCAATGGAAAAAAAGTACTACATCAGGGCTCCTGCAATACAAAAGAAAAATATATTGCAATGTTTGTTGTCAAAATATATACATATATATTTCTATCTAAAGATATAGTAAATATATACGTGGTGAGAGCAGAGATTTAATGCCATATCTAATTGAAAAAGGAAAAATGTTATTTTAAAAAAGATTTGAAGACAATCGCTCAGTGGGAGGTGCAGCAGTAAGCGAGAGGAGATGTCGATCACGAAACGCTGAGATAAACGGGTAACAACTAAGACAGATTGAAAAAGAACGGCAGAGGTTGTGTTTCGACATTCCGCGGTTGGGAATTCTGGGAAAAGACCTTTGAGGTTCCCAAACTAACTTCCTGTCATCGTTATAATCAGCCGGGGTGCATAATGCAACACGCCTGTATGGTATGAAGGAGATATTTATGGACAGTTCCAAACACACTCTCTACAGTTGCTTGGAAACAATGGAAATTTGCCACTGCAACTCCAGCTCATAGATGGACATCTGTGAGCGCCATCTGAATCCATGCACCATCTCTACTGTAGTTTAAAATACCCACAGTACTTTGAGAGCTTTCTGTCAGGTCCTTAAAAAGACAGTTCACCCAAAAATAAAAAAATGTCATTATTTACTTACCCACATGTTGTTCCAAACCTGTATGACTTTATTTCTTCTGTGGAACACAAATGGAGATGTTTTAAAGCAGGGGTGTCCAAACTCGGTCCTGGAGGGCCGGTGTCCTGAAGAGTTTAGCTCCAACCCCAATTAAACACACCTGAACCAGCTAATCAAGCTCTTACTAGGCATACTAGAAACTTAAAGGCAGGTGTGTTGAGGCAAGTTGGAGCTAAACTCTGCAGGACACTGGCCCTCCAGAACTGGGCACCCATGTTTTAGAGTGTTCCAGCCATACAATGAAAGTAGGGGAGTCGCAATATACTGGTACTGATGAATGATATTGTAATACTGGACATAATATCGGAAATAATACATTACCAGTACTATGCGGTTGACACTCCAACATCGTATGTGGTAGTATTCCACCTTAATACTGGTTGCCACACATCATAAAATAGTAATAGTAAATAGCAGGAGGTGCCGAACAACAAAAAAATGTGTTTTATTTTTTTTTGTATTGTTTTGTACAGTTATGGTTACTGTCTCTGCGCCTTCCTACACTCATATTTTGAGTGTGATTCATTGGCAAAAAAATAAAATAAAAAAGAGGAAAAAAATAAAATTAAAGATGAATTTGACTGATAACAATATTTATTCTTCCCGAATATTTCAATAGATAATGTAATATAATCATTATTATAAACTCTTTTGGCCACAATAATTGTGTAGTGAAAATCTGATATTTTGACAGGTTTAAATGAACAAAATTTGGACCCCATTGACTTTCATTTTATGGAATAATTGACGAATAGTGAATAAATGATGACAGAATTTAAATTTTTGGGTGCATTACCCCTTTTAGGTGAGATCGCTCCTCTGATTTAAAAAATTCAAGCTTTCAGCATGTCTGATAGGTCATATATTATATATCGGGAAAGATTTCTACCTTTATATACCGCATATTTATTGGTGACTTAGAACACACAAACCCTGCAGACTTCAGCACAGGAAATAGCACACATTTATTGTTTGTTCAACAGGATTCTGTTTAATGCAGCCGCCTGAGCATATCTCATGTTAGGAAGACTTGACGCAACAAATCCTAAGGTACAGAGTAGGGACATGTCGTGTTGGGTTTAAAATTGAGCTGATTGAACGATAGTATATCTGTTTGTGGCATATAAAAAAAAATAAAAAATCTGTTTGACTTGCCAGGAGATGTTTTTTTTTTTTTTTTGGTGGCTTGATAAATTAGGATTGTGTTACGGTGTACCCAAAGTTGTGTAAGATAAATAAATTTGATCACCCAGATCTAAACTTGAGATAGAGTTGCGAAGAATGTGGACTTGTTTTAAAAACAGTGAAAGAAGTATGTGTTCCTCTTATTGCTGCTCAAATGCCCACTGACTGGGTTATTAAGTCTGTCTGATGGCAGACGTGCCCAGAGCATTTTGCCATGAACATGTTTCATTAGGATTAGACCGATATCTATATCAGTATTAATGCCTGTTCAGGTGAAACATCTTGTGAAAATATTCCCTTGACCACCCCAGAAAGTCCCCATGTCCCATGTTTTTCATATTTAAAAGACAGTTGCTGACTTAAATTTCATTTACTTATTTTTTTTTTCTCAGTTGCATTGTTTATAAAAATAGATGTATCCAACTTAGTTTATTTGTTTGGTTCTATGATGATTTATGTTGAAAAGAAAATGCAGTTGTGTTGCGCAAGGGGGCAGGCCTGTTTAGCCAGTCAAATCAGGGACCCCCACGCTCCAACCAATCACAGGAGAAGCTGTGTGGATACTGGGTGGAGTCAGGAATAGAACTCCATCCCCACACGCCTGTTTCCCCACCCGAATCATCCGATTAGCCCCTTTTCTTCAACCAATAAATATTCCTGCTATACCCAAGACCTCCCTGTCAGCATAATTTCTAATCTACAAATAAAGACTCTTGTATATATGAAACTGTTTTGTATAAATAATCACTATTTTCGACATCTCCATTAGCAACCAGGGCACAATTATAAGTCTGGTTAAAGGTATAACTTTAAATGTGAGGGGATTAAAAAGACAAAAAAGTATAAAATCTAACAAAAAATACTTTACACCTTGAGTTTTGAATGGGGCACATAAACCCAGACCAGACGTCTGGCATTTGATTTATTTTCTCCTTTTTATAATTTGTCTTATGTTTTTATTCATTTATGTTGTTGGTTGTTTTGTTTGTTTTTACTTTTGTTTTGTTTCTACTTTTTGGTTAACTTGACGAAAAATGGCATTGCATGCTCTGAATATTTTGCTGGTTATTAAAAGAAAAAGGGAAAGGAGATAAATAACTAAAAGGGAAAAAAAAGTTTAAAAATGCAGAGGGGATTCCTAAACTTTTATGGAAAAGTTGCTTCAATTTGCAATTGCTTGTGTTTAAATATACAGATTTTTTTTTTCTATGAAAACAAAACAAAAACAGAAAAAGAGTACTCCAACAACTTGTGCAATAAAGCTATCTTTCTATGAATAGTGCCTTGTCCCTTGTGTGATTTTTTTTATATGTAAATTATATCTATATATCTATATATACAATTAGAAAACAACTAATACAACTGGAAAACAAGTATCTGTATAGCAATATTCCATAATTTATTCATTAAGGTGCACTCGGTAATTTTTGTTCATTAATTGGTCCTGAACTTACTGACATCAATATGATGGGAGCATCAATAATACAAAAAAGCAGTCGTTGTTTTGTTACCTTACCAGTGCCAATGAAGACGTGCTCTAGTTATCCATCCATCCATCTTCCAAACCACGTGTCCTGCTTACGGCCTATTAAAGCTTCTATTGATGGTCATCCATGCTTAATTTACTCAGTTAAGGTGTACAATGATGGAAGTTGTGGATATAAAATAAAGAGTATGGAAGTGTTCACTCGGAGGCCATATTAACGCCAATCAGCTGTTGCTTCGTAGCTATATTCGAAACTCTCACCGTCAGCTGTTAGCGGTCATGCAAATTTGTTTACTTCAATGGGGAAAGGAAATCGTCTCTAAAACCGTTAAATATTGCGTTCCAACAATAAATTCTGACAATAAAATAAATTGCCTCATCAGGTCAAATCACACGCAGTACAAAAACGTCCCAGAGATTTTGGCTAATGCGCATGCGCATTGTAAAGTAAACAAACACGCGTTTGACTTTTTCAACAAAAGGGGTCCTAGTCATTTTCTTTTTTTTTGGGGTCCTAGTCTTTTTTTTTTTTTTTTTTTCTTTTTTTTTTTTTGAAGTGTTCAGTTGGTCAAGGGATTTAGGTAAGAGTTTGTACAAAATTTGTCATTTTGATCCTTTCACTAGCTCACCAGCAGAGGGAAGAATGACATTAGGCCTATGTCTTGGATGGAAAACTTGGGTGTTTATTGAATGTGATTGTACTGTTGCCATGACAGTTTATAAAAATCACTGGTACATTATCAGTTGAAAATTCACATTGCTCTCTGCAGGCTATGTAATTTTCACATTGCACTTTCTCACCTAGGCACATACCCACATAGTATGTAACATATAAATGTTACACTGAGGGTAAATTCATTGTTACACAATGTGGATTAACCTAAAAAAAAAGAGTTAGCTATACTTTGAGGACACAGTTGCCCTCAGAATTCAGTTAAATTTGATTTCAATCTTAAAAATGCAAACTATTTTTATTATTTCTAAATAAAATTGTCTTTCTATAAAAAATAAATAAAGATGTCTATGGTTTGCCCTTATTTCAAGGGATAAGTAAACATGTGTGGAGTAGATCACTGTGATATTTTGCTAGGTTATTTTAGTCTGCATGTTTTGTGTACATATCGTCCTCATTTATCATAAAGATCTTCTGATGTGTGAGTGTTTGTTTTGTCTGAAGTTTGTGGCATCCATTATCAGCAAATGGTCTGAAATGTTTGTCATTGTCTGAACGTGTGTTTTCGTGCAGTTGTCAGCTATCTGTAAATCAGAAACGTGACTGTGCCGCTCACAGGTGTCGTCCTCCTTTAACATTGATGAGACCAGGCTTGCATGTGGACAGTTGCTGGGATTATAGGGCTCAGAAATTGACACTTCAAAAGCTTACAGTTTAGCCTGGTTGATCTTTCATTTGTGGTCTTTCTGCTTGTTTTGCTGATACTTCCTGTACTGGTTCTGAATTGTAGCCGCTGCCTTCTCGGCAGAGGTTCTGGTGTGTCCATTACTGCAAGAAGAATCTAAAAAAACATGGAAAAGAATGGATAAAACGAGGAAATTTTGAGAATTAGAGGATGCTTTAGAGAATATTTTGTGATTTTATTTATGTGACAAGATATTTTAATGTTTTTGTTTTATTTAATTTTACAGTTTAGGTTTCAGAATACAATTTCAGAATTGTTCATACGTACTCTTTCTGTAAACTCCTATGCTGTTCCTTCTCTGGCCCTCAAACTGCAAAGCAAAAAATAAATAAATAAATAAAAGAAAAATTAACTGATAAAATCATTCAATCCTATATCTTTTTAA